ATATTATGCCCGCAAGTTGATTGATTAACTCCATCGATTTATCATCGTCATTTTCTTTCATTGTAGTCATTTCTAATGCACTATGTTCATCTGTGCATGTGGCAAACCCTAACAGAAATGCTAGTAAGGCCAACAGACCAATTCGCATTACAGTAGTGTGGTGTCTTGGGGAAGGGATAGTGCCTTTCAACCAAACATGCTCAACTAAAGACCGATTTTGAAGTGGACGGATTGGTATTGGGTTATTATAGCTTAGGCTCTCTTTATCGTAAGTCATCTTGAGATAGTTCACCAACTCAGAGTATAAATACTAATTTGAGATTGTGATTTCTAATTCGAGATTTTAATCGCACTCGCTGCGATCAGTGCCAGACCGATAAGTATTACATGTAGAGAACTCACTTGAAAGTGGAGGCCGGCGAGGACACCACAAGTAGAGATAAGATAAAGAAAATTGTATAAGATTGTTATATATTGGACAGATAAATGCAATATAGTATCTGCCTGGCCTTGGCTTCATTTAGTCTGTCATCGGTTTTAGATTAAGTTATTGCATAGGCCCACATAAATATCTGCTTATAACAAGTACTATAACTTTGCATACGCTTACTAGTCCAATTCATTGCTGAAATAAACATCTCGTATATTTATCAAACATTGTGGCATACTACGGGCTTTCCGAACCCGAATATCATCACTATAAACTATAAACCAACATTAAATGACACCAACAAAGCATATCAGACGATAAAAGACAATCTTGGCAGTCTAATACTAAGTAAACACAATTATTCTACAACCAGTATCAACTACATATTAACTGCACATCAACTACATATCAATACTAATCCAATTTGACCATCTAGTATGTATTGATATAAACATATAGCCAGCATAAACTTTAACTCAATTGAAATATAAATCCAATTCAAACATGATACAATAATCAAAATGAAGAGCTCGTGTTTATTTTAAAGTTGTAGAATTGATTTGAATTAGATTGAGTTGAATTAGATTGAGTTGAGTTGGGTTGAGTTGGGTTATGTTGGATTGGATTGAGTTAAGAGAGAGAGCTAGGTTAGGTGAAGTTGCCTATTACGTTAGTATATAATTGAAAGCCAAGAAGTATCTAGCCACATTATTTTTAGATCTTATCTCATTTTCAATATGCCTTTGCTTTCCTATTCCCACCCATATATGCTTCAAGGCGGCGTCCTTATTGGAATCAAGAGATGCCTTGTTGGTGTGTGTCTTATCTAATTAATCAATGAGTGCTATACGCCCCCTAATACACTTACTAACCCAATAACGTTGACTTTATTGAAGGAAATGGAAAGAAACCCACTAAGATAGACCCACGTATAGTTTTCATAGACATAGGCCAAAACTAGTTGTCTTGCAGCCAATGTTATAATAGAAGGACCATAAGAGTAAAAAGGCCCGAAGAAAGGGCGGGTTTAGTCAGCACAGATTCACGGGCAATGCAGCCTACTAGGCGCTTTGTGCTTCGGGGAAGGGCGGCATCTCTATCCATTCTATCTGGGTGAAGTTGGATGGTGCGATCATAATGGTTGAAATGCTTTTAGCAGGAGACTGAACGTATGGCAGGGAATCTACCCGCACTTGATTGAAACGAACCAGAGTATGCTGTAGTATTCGGCTAGTTGCTGGAACACACACCCGAATATCGATAGTCATCGAATTCGTAGAAGAATAATCAGGAAGAGCATCCTTAGGCCTGAACCCAAGCTTATATAGTTTCTTGACAACCATCTCGACTAGGTGCGGCTCAACCAGGGAGTCAAACCAATGTATGATAGAGGGCCGATAGTGTACGGAAACAAGCAAATCAATCAGCATTAGAAAGAACTTCTCGGCCAGAGAACTTCTAAAATCCATTGATTTAATCAAGACCATCGTTTCAACCGTTTCAACCGTTTCTTTAACATCCGAACGGGCCTTGGCCGCGTACCTAAAGCACTGGACAATCATGTCGACCATAGCTTGGCTAATCTCAGTAGGTTTAAATTGTATAATAAACTGTGTGTAGTGGTCGAGTGGTGCTTTGAAGTATACCTTAGTGGGCTTATATGAGCCAGCATTCGATTTAGGATGATACACATCATAGTATTCATTATTGGCATAAGCTAGCAAACGAGCAAATTTCAGCACATCAAGATGACATACCGTCCTCGAGTCCGCCCAATAGGAGAATCCCGGTATTTGAGATATCTCATTAATGCGCGCTAACATCTGCTTCTTGTCATTATTCTTTGATAAATAAGAGCCAATATCAGATATGGCAATATCAATTTTGCCGGCCGGAATAGCCTTGATATATGGGATAAGAAGAGAGAAATCGATTGGTGTGACTGGATAGTCAAGGTTAACAGAGAGCCGGTTGTTTGCCATTAGTATATGGAGCAGCTGAAAAACAAACGGCAATGTGCATTCCTTAATATGCAGCTTTATAGTGTTGAGGCAGTTTGCTTGGTAACCTATTAGGGGATTAGGTTGAAACTTCTCTATTTCAAAGTCATTAAAGTTGTTACACTGGGTTGGTATTTCTAGGCTACTGAGTGTTTCTAACGTCTCGGTCAACAGCAAGAAGTGATCCTCAGTTAGTGTTACTGGCCCTTTATCGGACTTCCATTTAACTGGGTCGTATGTCAGAATAAAATCAGTCCATCGCATCCTTTGCAGCTTAGCCAAGGCCCGCAGATATTCTAATGGAGCTATTGGGTTAGTGTCTTTGTTCTTATTCTTGTCCTTGTTCTTGTGTTTTGATTTGCCTTTCTTGTTGTTCTTGTTCTTGTTTTTGTTCTTATTCTTGTCTTTAGATCGGGTGTTGTTGCTATTAGCCGGCCCGGAGTCATCAGAGTCATCAACATCAGCAGATGGTTTATGTTCTTCAGCTTTCTCGAATTTGCGTTGATGCTTATATAGAGAGTGAAAGCAAACTTGCACATGGTAGTTAATAGTGCGCAGATTAAGCAGAGCACCCAATAAGGGACGAGCAGTGCCGAGGCTGTCGCCTTGGGGGTCCTTTAGTTCCCTGTGACGGGGTTGTATGTATGCATTTGGGCTTAGAGCATCGCACAGAAAATGGATCAGGATTTGTCGGGAATACGATGGTGCACGTGTCTTACGGACTCTAGGATAGTCTACTAGAGCCTCCTTATTCATAAGCCGGCCTAGGCCATAAAGATGATCAAAATCCAGACAGAATATGATATTAACATCGGTAGAGCATAAGTGAAGTTGTAAATTTAGAAAGGTCAGAATAGCTATAGAGGTAATGACTTTTATCGTGATCGAGCCAATCTTCCTTTGGGACAATTTCCCTGCGTTCTCGACCGTATGGCCTATATCAATAAAAACGGTAGGCCCCGTCTTAGATAGTAATTGTGGCATAATTTCTTCGATATCTATAGAATCGATCTGACTACTACCTAGTAGATTTGAAAAAATCTCCCACCAGTTAATAGATAGGTCAATTGATAAATCATAAATGGCTAGATGACGTAGTTCTATAGTGTCAAGGAACCCTTCCAATCTCCGAAGAGCATCCATATCGGCAGTATTGTTTGTTAGGGCATTCAGTCTGCTACAAGATAGCCTAACCGATGGATTGCGTATATACACACAAAAGAGTTCTACCTCATGATTCTTGTATAACTCCTTCTTCGAATGGATATGAAGTTGTAGGTTTGGGAGGGTTTTAGAGGCATCCTCGGCTGATGGAACAAAAATCATGGATATAAATCTGGCTAATGAGGGTATGTCCCAGTTGCCAGTTGGCAGGGCATAATAACTGTTAGTGTTATTAAGAGCTTGGAGATCACTGCTTACAACTAAATTAAACATTGTGGTTAGTATGATTAGGATGGGAGACAACAACATACAACGCATTATGAAAAAGATAAGATTGGCAGAAAAAACAATCTATAGTCAATGATTAAGCGAGTAACATTTGGTTTCTAAGGAACACACGGGTTAATATTGTGTTGGGTTGAGTTAGTATTTGATTATAATTGGTTAGTATTGGGTTATAATTGATTAGTGTTGGAATTAGATTGGGTTTAGTTTATTGATTAGAGGCAAGTTATTGTCTCATTGGAACAAGTCTAACAAAAACAACAATTTCAAAATCATTACGTTTTTCTCGCTTTCGGTGGAACAAGAGGCACTAAGAAGTGGAGTTTCTTGTGCGGTGCCATTATCTACTCACTTGTTGCTCTTTATTCACAGTAAATCTGGCCTGCAGTACTGTTTCATGTTCTTTGGTTTAGTGCATTAAGATGGTATTGATGTGGCATTGGTTTGTATTGGCGTTGTGTTGATATTGACGGCTCTAGAGACAAGATACGATAGTTGCTTACTTTTTGCTTGGTGCCTACATGTCTTTTGTTGCGAGATACTTATTGTAGGACGCCTATTTTGAAATTCACGGACAATGAAATAGCTACTCTCTATTGGGTTAGTATTGGGTTAGCATTGGGGCTAATTCCTATGCCCATGAAAAGGAGTACACAATCTTTCAACTAAACATATTCAACCAAAGATCGGTTTAGAAGCCAACTGGGATAGAGTTTATTCAACACGGCTTACTCGAGTTAGTATTGTATTGAACTAGATTTTTATAACATGTGTTCTAATTGCCATACTTGTTGCCGGGCACCATCTTGAGATAGTTCTCAGATTCAGCTAAGTTTATAATTCCAACTGTAATATCAAAATTCAAAACTTTGCCAACAATCTTTTTGATCAAATACCAATCCAATAAAGAGCACTTCCCCTGTAAATAGCACATTTAAATACTAGTAAGATATAATGCATTTAAATCGTGCCAAAGTGGTTTGTGTATATGTGTCCCATAAGCTGAACCCCAATTTGAACTCCGAAGAGACCGCCAGCTGTTTTGGAATATAATAGGACACATGAAACGAATACGTTCTTTTGTTTAACATACACTATTAAAGACTTTCGCCAACGTTCAAATCACGACTCTTTATTAAGTTGGTATCAAGTTAGTATCAAGTTAGTATCAAGTTAGTACTGAATTAGTTATTGAGGTGGTGTCGTGTTAGTATTGGATTGGGGCCCGACATCTTCGGCTGTGTTGCTAGGAGTTGCTCCTACAACGACTGGATTGTTTAGAGAACTCGTTTCCTCTGGGCCCAAAGGTATAGATTCAGAAGTTGCTGAATCAGATTGGGGCTTAGTAGATGGCGTAGGGTCGGAATTGACCGGGGCTATTTCAGTGTTCTGGAGTGGATGGATAAAAGTCCACTTATAAAACGTGTTAGAATCCGGGACTACCCATTCAACCATAAGAATCAGTTGCATATTGCTGATCGAAGGAAAGCTTGCTTTAGAGGCCACGAATCCACACGTTTGTACAAACACGAGAAACTCCTTTAAGATAGAATCGCGTGCTCGGATTTTAAACATTCGGATACAACAGGGTCGATATCGTATGCGCAGAACAATAGTAAGGAACACTCTAATCACCTCAAATAATTTATCATCGCTGAAACACTCAAACCTAATGTCAATGCAACAAGGAAAAATCACCATCGGAACTTTTGGGTAATCTATACAGAGTGTATCAATAGTGTTAAGATTTTGAAGCACCCTCTGGTAGTTCTTATAATGAAAATGACGCACAGCTAGTGGGGTATTTGTCCAGAGGTACCGCTGGAAGTAGGTTCCAGGAACATCCCCGACAGGAAACTTCTCAAGTGTGGCAGCAGATTCACAATATTCGGCATTACCATAAACAAGTAGTTGGGCCATTCCTGTTAAAGAAACGGGGGGGCGGGGGAAAGGTATAGTCGGATTATTCACTAATTTATGTGAAAACAGACTCTTAAGATTCGCGAGCACTTTCTTTGGGTCTTGATCTTCTTGATTAAGGTACATGCCCAACCCAAGGATATCTATCTCTATATTGTGATCCTGCAAGTCGTTCATATTAGCGAGAAACCGAGGAAGATTAACTATTTTATCACTAAAGTCAACACTAACCTTTAGGCATGGAGACAAGAGCCCTCGCATAACACTGTTAACAAACATCTCATTGGAATTAAAGAACACCAGAATAATATTCTTACTAGTTACGATACGCTCTGTAATTGAAGGGATCGGGTTAGCCACAGAACCAAACTCCCGCAAATAAACAAGCTTATTTGGACACGAAATTGCTTCGATAGTTGTAACCAATAAGGAGAGATGGTCCGCGGTCAGTTTTTCAGTACCCCACTTATACGGACTATAGGTAATGCCCATACAGTTAAAAGAGAAGCTGGTTACTAGGTTCTGCAACTTATCTATTAAACTTAGATCCTTTTTGTTCTTTCTGGGCTTTGGCTGGGCCTTCTTTTTGACTTTGTTCTTCTTCTTACCCTTAGATTTGGTGCGTTTGTTAGTTGATTGGGACTCTTCAGGCTCTTCATTCTTTTCAGATGCCTGTTGCAATCTGCAATAGTGCGTATATAGGGAGTAGAAGCATATTTCTAGTGAAACAAAGAAATCCCTGGGCCGTTCGGCTTGAAGTTGCATAAGGTGTCGAGATAAGTAAGTGTTAGTGTGTAAAAGCTCGGGCAGAAAGTGGGCAGTAACCGGCCGTGTTATATCGCGCTGGTTTTTGACACCGCCCCATGCCAGGTCGACCTTGCGTTCCGTCAAGTTATTATCGCCATGTATATGATCATAATTAAGGTTAAGAATAACCTTGAAGATAGACGACTTAGCATAAAGATTTAAAGTCAGAAAGAAGTTAACTGCTATTGTTGTAACAAGCTTACAAACTGTCTCGTCTATTTTACCACCCTCCTTTACCATCTGCAGATCTATTGCATTGTCCTTAAGAATGGTTTGATTGTTAATATAAGACAAAGGACTTAACTCATTGGGAGAAGGGCAACCTTCATAGATATAAAGCATACTCACATCAATAACACGAATTAGCATCGAAAAGACCGCACAAACATCTTGTGATGCCAAAGCCGAAAACTCACGAATATACAAACACTCGAAGCGCAGAAGTATAATCCTTGGTATAAGATTGAAAAGTGTCGTCACATTTCTCGGTATTTTCATCAGCTCTATTAGCTTACTATAGAGCAAATCGCTCACCGTATTATAGACAACCACCCCATAATGCGGCACTTGAGACACATGATTGACATCCGTCATAGAAAATAACATGTCAAGGCCCTCCTTATCGTCATCGTCCAAAGGATATGACACAAGAATGTATTCTAAGAAGGCTGTAAGTGCCACCCTAACACTTTCAGTCGGCAAAATCATGGGTTCAGCTTCCTTATTACATTTCGACTCAGTTTGACTAAGCACATAGCCAAACAGCAGTGCTACCAGCATCCATTCTGAAATTAACAATCCCCAACGCATCGAAGTCTAGATACAATCGAAAGAAAAAACAAGATAGATAAGAGCAGGTGCCGGTGGATTCAAACTATTAATTCAATGACAAGAATCTCACTTATGCTTTCAAGTCTATCTATCCCATACAAGCGCCAAACCCAATCAAATATATCTTATTAAACCCAAGCAATAACATACTACAATGTACAATACTAACCCAATACAACTCTATTAAAGAATTCCTTGAAACAACTATCGACGTCTTTTATTGGTATTAGTATTGGTATTGGTGTTAGTATTAGTGCTAGTATTGGTGTTAGTATTGGCATTAGTGTGTGCTAAGTAGTGGTCGTATGGCAGCACTACACATATCTAGATTCAGTCTAAACACAACTTAACACAATTCAATACTATCTAAGACAAACTCAATCAAATCAAACCCAACCCAAACACAACTCAATACCAAACCAAACCAAACCCAACCAAACACAACCCAACTCATACCCAAACCCAACTCAATACCAACTCAACTCAATACCAAAATCGAAAGAAGGTTTATTTTACAGAAACAGCTGCGACTAAGTTATCTTGTATACTCATCTGTCCTCAGAAGTGATGTATCCTTAAATGTCTTTAAGCACGCTTAAACTCGCACCTTAAGTGGGGATACTACTTTTGGTCCTGCAATCATTGGAGTAGGCTCCTCATCATCGCCTTCCTCATCATCACCTTCTTCTTCTTCTTCCTCGTCGTCACCTTCATCATCGCCACCATTGGTGTCATCGCCATTGTCAGATGAACCGGGAGTGCTGGGCTGAATTACAATTTCCGGGTCGTAAGGCGAAATTAAGCCACTGCCACAGGGAATGGTGGCATAGAAGATGATTTCAGCCTTAGGATTGGGCAGCACATAGATGCGGTGGCGTAAAAGGTTATCCGTTTCAAAGATACCGCCAACATCCATTCGCGTCTCGGCTGGGAAGAACATAACTCCTGGGAAGACTCGCCAGGCCAAGCCATTGTCATTAGAAATGATCTCATCCACAGAAGAAGAAGGAGCAACATTGAGCCAGTCAAGTTGAATTGAAGTAAGCAAGTAAGGTGCTTTCTTGGCATCGCCAATAGTAAGGTACTCCATACCTGCCGGAGGCTCAGCACCACTGTCCAAAATAATCTCAAAGCGACACTCCAAGTAAGGCGTGCCAAGCATCAGACCACCTGCACCAGAGAAGCCCGTATGTGCCGTTAAAGTACGCGTAGCTACTCCTAGATCTTCCGAGCCAGAAGAGATTGTGTAATTATCCACAATGGAAGTATCACCAGTTGTCCGACTAACAAAGGTTAAGTTGGCAATGATAGGAGTGGAGTTAGTTGTGTTGGTGGTAGCCGGGTTTACTTCAATAGCAATAGCACCCGGAGCTTCAGAGAAATGCATATCAAAAACACTTTCAGGGATGTACGACACCGCCATAACCTGGGATGCAATCATAGCAACTATGCTTAGTAGCTTCATTGTTCAATAGCCAAACAATCGTATTTATACTTTTCACCTGAGTCTAGAACCCTCTCCAGATATGGATCTTATAGCTATTTTACCTTGTTCCGGTCTAATGCCTTTTTAATAGTCCAAAAGGACCTTATCCGCCATTCCAAAACAACAATTCGTCAAAAAACAGCTAAATTGAGTTTCATTTAAAGTATGTCATTATTAGGATCAATAGACATCTGCACATCCTGTAGGGCAGAAATCACTTCAGGAGAGACTTTGTGCGTCTTGCGGAAGTAAGTAATGTTCTTTTCTAGTTCATCACTAGCTGCTTGTGAAGTCGTCTTAGTACGCATCATTTGGTAGATAATCTTAGTTTCAATTCGTGTCTCGTCCATTTGGTTCATAATCGCTGAACATTCATCCGTACGACCGACAATAATGCCACAAAGAATAGCACAGAAGAAGAAACTTGTTTTCTCAATCACTTGGCCTAAGGCACTGTTGTCCTCAGATAGTTCCTTGTACAACTCAAAGGCCTTTTCATAGTTCTTGCGTCGCATTTCTAGTTCAGCACATTGCACTAGAATATTACGACGATTGATACACATCTTAGCCTGGCCATACAAAGAAGCAGCCTTATAAAGATACTCTAAAGCAGTTGTATCTTTCTTGAGCTCAAGGAAGGACTTAGCTGTTTTAACTGCTAGAATAGCTGCCATAGAGAAATCACGAATGTGCATAGTTGCTACATCAAAAGCTCGGCCGTAAGCAACTGTACACATATCTTTATCAACAATATAGTATGCCTCAGCTGCCTTAACAAAAGCCGAAGAGGATTCATACATAGACTCTTCTTTACCATCGCCAAATAGAATCTCGGCGGCCTTGTAGAAAAGTTCGGCTGATTTAGTGTAATTACTGGCATTTCCGTAGGCCTGGGCGGCTTGAATATAGAGATCGGCAGCATGTGGTAGATCTACTTGTGAAAGAAGTCGAGAAAAGAAACTCCCACTCTTCTTATAATAGGAATCTGCTTTCTTTTCTAATTCTTCGGGTGATAGTGTTGGTGACATAGTAAATAAAAAGAATTAGAGTAAATAGATGTATAGGTGTATTGAGTTGGTGTTTAGTTAGGGTATAGTTAATGTTTAGGTGAGGTAGGTTGGTATATAGTTGGTGTATAGTTAGTAGTGACGTATTGAGTCGAGTTGGGATTTAGATTGTATTAGTATTGTGTTAGTATTGTGTTAGTATTGAGTTAAGGCAGATAGTATTTAGATTGTGTTAGTATTTAGATTGGTATTTATTGAATTGAGTTGAGTTGGTATTTAGATTGTGTTGCGATGGTATTAAGTTGAGGTAGATGGTATTATTAAGTTGGGGATTGATATGCTGTGAATTAAATCTTGTTTGTATTAAGTTGTTATTAAGTTAGTATTAAGTTGTTGTGGGATTAGATTAGATGGGGATTAGATGGGATTGGTTGGGAAATAACCATAACCCAACTCAGATGTCATCAGATTCATCTTCGGAAATGCCATATTCTTGTTTGAGATCTTCTATGGTTAGGTAGTTAAGATGGCTGGCTGCATGTGCTGCTGAAGTATTTAGTCGCTTGGATAGGTTAGATAGTGCACTGCTCCAGTCAAATCCTTTTTGCTTGGTCTGAACTAGACCATAATCGATGCCCATTTGCCTAGCAAGTGACCATAGTTCTGGAACCTGCCGTCGCTCCAAAATATACTGTAAAGTATCGACATCTTTAGTATCGGTCATATAGGCCTTAATAGTTGCTTTGGCAGCCATAGGATTGCGCCGTAAGTACACCTTGGTAGCCACCACACTCTTCTGGCCCCGACCGTTCAAATACTTAACCAGTAACTCTAAATCTCGTGACTGACCAGCTGTCTCCAAGTACTCCAAACTATCCACTTTAACCACTGCAAATACTCGGGCTAGAGCTTCAGCTTCTGGTACCATTAAGAACTCTTGCAAAATGCGCAGCAGCAACATCATAATTCCAAAGTCAAATGATCGCTCCAACCACCTAAAAGCCGAAGTGACCCAAAGCTTACAACCCGTCAAACTCTTCTGCTCATAACACACCCGGCCCTCCAGCACAACCTTCATTCTTTCCAGTTCCGGATTCGGCCCTTTTCTTTCATCTACGTACTGAGTTAGTACATCCACGGCCCTCTTCTTCTTCCCCAAGGCTAAATAAGCACAAACCAGTCGCATAATCTTCCGATCAGGATACGCAGAATCGCCCAATCGCTTAACTTGTGAATCTAACATGGCCAAACATCCGGCTATATCTCCCCTCTCCAGATCAACATTAACTGCCACCATAGGACACAACTTCCAAAGCAAGGCAGAGGACGGTTGCGAATGATCAAACCCACCAGACAATAAAAGAGATTCTATTAGATATGGATATACATCGTCACTAGCGTTCATATAGCGCCAAATCGAAAATTTGTTTATGGGTCAACAACAATCTTCGGCAAGTCGACCACCTGCCCCCCCTAAAGAGCAGCCAGAGAAGAATCTTAACCTCAAAAAGAAGAAGCGCATGCGCGGACCAGAAACTCTCTCCAAACTCCCACCTATTCTCCCCCAAACTAAGTGCAAGTTAAGACAACTTAAGTTAGAAAAAGTCCGAGATTACTTGGTATTAGAAGAGGGCATTCTTTCTTTCCAAGCCCAAACGGCCGAGGAGGGAGCCTTTTCGACCGAACGAGCTACAGTCGATAAGTTCCGTGGGTATCCCATGAACTTAGGAACTTTGGAAGAGTTTATTGATGAGAACCATGCTATTGTCAGTATTAGTACGGGCCAGGAGTACTACGTGCCAATCTACTCATTTGTTGATCGTGATGCATTAGAGCCGGGATGCACAGTCCTTCTGAACCAGCGCGAAAGTGGAGTGGTGGGAGTATTAGAAGGTGAGACTGATCCCTTAGTTAGTGTGATGAAGTTAGAGAAAGCGCCACTGGAGACTTATGCGGATATTGGTGGACTGGAGCAACAGATTCAGGAAATCAAGGAGGCCGTTGAATTGCCCTTAACTAATCCCGAACTTTATGACGAAATGGGCATTAAACCGCCCAAGGGTGTTATTCTGTATGGTGCGCCAGGGACGGGCAAGACTCTTTTAGCTAAGGCAGTTGCTAACCAGACTTCAGCCACCTTTTTACGTATTGTTGGTTCTGAGCTTATTCAGAAGTACTTGGGAGAAGGTCCTAAACTAGTGCGAGAGTTGTTTAAGGCTGCGGAAATGCATACACCGGCAATTATCTTTATTGATGAAATTGATGCGATTGGGACTAAGCGGTATGATACGACTTCTGGTGGAGAGAAGGAAATAGAAAGGACAATGTTGGAATTGCTTAATCAACTGGATGGGTTTGATACGTCTTCAGATATCAAAGTCATTATGGCAACCAATCGCATTGAGAGTCTAGATCCGGCTCTAATCCGGCCGGGTCGAATCGATCGTAAGATTGAGTTCCCAGTTCCCGATATTCAAACCAAGCGAAAGATCTTCAGCATTCACACTAATCGCATGACTCTAGCCAAGGACGTAGTACTGAACGATATGATCGGCACGAATGAGGATTTAAGTGGAGCGGATATCAAAGCCATATGTACTGAGGCCGGCATGTTGGCCCTTCGTGAGAGACGAAAGCAAGTAACCATGCAAGACTTCATTAAGGCCAAAGAAAAGGTCCAAGCCACCAAGTTGGAAGTCGTCCCTGCCGCTCTTTATGCTTAAGAATAAACGGTTGTGTTGAGTTAGTTTAGGTTTAGTTTGAGTTAAGTTGGGTTAAATTTGAGTTGAGTTAAGTTGAGTTGAGTTAAGTTTGAGGTAGGTTTGAGTTGAGTCGGATTGTACTAAGCTGTATTATGTTATTGCAATGCGCAATACTAACGCAATACCAATGCAATACCAACGCAACTCAAGCCAACTCTATTAAAGATATTCCTTGAGGTGAGTATCGATGTCTTTTATTGGAGAAGTATGGTTGTGTTGAGATAGGATTGGGTTAGCATTGGGCTAGATACGCAAAACCCAAATGGTTAAATGAGGTTAGTGTTAGTAGAAGTAGGAGGGTTGGTAGAAGCGCGTACTAAGTAATAATCAGAGTGATCGTGTTAGTATTGTGTTGTGGTCGTATGACCGCATTGTAATTATACTATGTTGATGTAAGGTTTATTGAGCTAGCACTTAGTTGATGCCCAAATAACACTAACCCCATACTAACCCAATACTTCAAGCGGTATTTAAGTTTGGCCGAGTAAAGAATTTATGCTAGCCCATGAGCGACGCATAGTCCATGAAGTAATGCACACTTCTAAGTCCATACATTTGTTATACCAAGGGATCCGCTTAGAACGGATCGTTTGCCAAATCTTAAGATCCTCTTGGGAGCACGAACAGACTTTGGTAATTATTGGAGCCCCCGAAACGTTTATCAACCGTGTAATTGCTAAAGAGGCCGAAAATCCAGCCGCCGAAATCATTAATACTACTAATTCTCCAGTTGAGCTCAGTAGTGCAAATCAAACAATTGAAATTAGTCCCACCAAGACGGCCACTAAGAGTACCAAACAACCAGCAAAAAAGAAGCCCACCAATCGAGTCAATACCAAATCAACTCAATCCAATCCCAACCCAACTCAATCCCAACTTAACACTACTCTAACTAACGTCAAGACAAAACAGCGCAAACTTCCTAATCTCAAGCGAACTAACAAGAGTCGTAATCTGGAGAGTGGGTTTAATGATAGGAAACGGGCTAGAATGTATTTAGAGGGTGGAACACTGTTCACTTCAGAAGTTGGCTTTTTATCTGACTTATTAAAGGGTCGTGTGCCTGAAGATAAAGTGCGAGTGGTTTATTTACTTGGTGGAGGATGCTTGAACTCTTCACGTACTAATCGTGAGTTTATCCTCTTTGGAATGAAGTCATGGTTCAATGTTCTGATGGTTTATGATGAAGAGTACTCCTTTGCTGAGGTAGTTAAACAAGGCGGATTTAGTGGGCCAAGTATCTTTCTTTATCCTTTCTTTAGGAGATGTGTGATGAAATCCTTTGATGATTTTGATGTTACTGAAATAGAGTCCCCAATGGACTCAGGCCGACTAGCTATGCAAACGGACATTCTAGAGCTAAGTCGGAAGCTAGAACAACTGCCGGAAGTTACTAAATATGACCGATATATTTGGCGGATGAAAGCCCATCTTAAACAAGCCATCACTTATCTATTCAACACAGATATTGCTTTATTCAAGGCATACTTCATTCGGATCACGTCGGTTGAGTACAGCACTGAAATCCTCGAAAACTTCTACGGCGCCAGTGAAACACCAGGTGAGTGCGAAACTAAGTACCGCCACCTGCTTACTTGGCTCATGCACGACTCCATTGAAGAAATCACTCAAATTGCCGAACATCTAGCCCAGGAAGAAACACAGCCTCCTAAGCTGCGGCTACTTAAAGACCTACTAAAAGCCAAACCAGAAGCCACCATCTCAGTTCTTGGGTACAATCTTTTTGATATGCCTTTTACCGGTCTAGATACTCCCATCCATCACTCCTCTTATCTCATATCTGAAATCAACCGAATTGCATTTCAACCCCACCCCCATCTTGTACTCCTAAACTATAACATCAGTCTTCTTCGCCGGATCAAACTACTTCGCAAGAAATGGATTAAAACCGGCGCCAACATTGAAATCGTCATTATTTCTATTAAAGACTCCGCCGAGAATCTCTTTATCCTCGAAGAGATCAAAAACGAGAAAGATCGCTTTATCTCCGCCATTGGGCTTAAAAAGAACCGTCCAGCCCATATTGTCCACGAACCTTTCATGGTTACATCCAACAATCCTGCCGCTCCTTCCCTCTCAATTGATGTCCGAGAAATGCGCTCAACTCTTCCTCTCCATCTGGCCAAACGGTTCTCAGGCGACCTTAATTTTGACTTCACCTTCTTGCTCATGGGCGATTACGTTCTTAATGGGACCTACTTCATTGAAAGAAAGTCCATTCCCGACTTAATCAGCTCATTCCGCACTGGCCGTCTCTTCAAACAACTAGAAGCCATTATCTGTGCCCAAGAAGAGGCCTATCTGCTTATTGAGTTCCCTGAAAACGATAAGATCAGTTTATATGCATATGTGCAAAGCCGACAACTTGACATCGATCTTATCTACCGCCTAACCTCTCTACTTCGCAGTTTAAAACAAGTCCATCTTTATTTCTCTAACTCTAACTCTCTTTCCGCCGCCCTCATCAAATACCTCTCTCGCAAGCCAGCTTCGGCCCTTAGCACTCCAGCTGCTTCCTCACACGGTCATCTTGAATGCCTTCTTTCTCTTCCCGGTGTTGATCGCTCCAATATTCATCTTTTATTCCAGAACTTCAACTCCCTCTACGATCTTATTCAAGCCGATCTCTTCCAGCTAGTTCTTGCTCTTGGTCCAGATCTAGGCCACCAAATCTTCGATTTCTTTAATGAGCCCATCCAATCGTAGTCTTCTAGATCGTAATCTTTTAGATTGTAATCTCCTAGCCTTTCCAATCGCTTCATCCATTCTAACTACTCCGCTTAGTACCCTAGACCCGTCAGTAACACATTAGGGTTGGCTGACTGGTACATCTCACCGACCTCTCTAAGATACCGCTCGACCCAAACCCGGTGCTTCTTACTAGTGGGAACCGTCTCTATCACCCAACACAACAGCACCATTACGGATGGCGCAAACAGTTTCAAAGGAATTGTCTCAATATACGAAATAATATCTAGTACATTAGCCACATGCTCAGTCACCAGGCCTTGTGGCTCTATTTCCAACAACTCCACTAAACACTGCACATTCTTCTCCAGGACCTTTTCTAGACCCATCCGCTCATAGTCCGGTACAATCACCAGTAGTCTAGCTAAAGCCTGTCCAGCATAGAATCGGTCTAGTAACGAAGACTTCCCTGCACTAATCACGCCCAGTAAACCCCGAACTACCCCAATACTAAACCGCTGCATTGCCACCGAGCAGGCCCCACGTACACTGGCTAGAGAAGACTGATGGGCCGCAGCAAGTAACTTAAAATGGGCACACTGCATAATCAGCCCACCCGTCTTTCCTTCACCACTATTAGTCAGACTAGAATGGAAGGCCGGGCCTAGCACAAATAAAAGCTCTCTCTCGTATAGTTGATTATTGGCTTCTTTTACCAGTCCGTCTAAGTACCAGCCCACTACCCATTCTATTCCTATCAAGTTACCTGCACCTTCCAGCCACTTAACCAGTGAGTTATGCACTACTCCGTACTCGTCCTGAAAAGCAAATATATCCTTGTAGGCCGTTGGGAGTACTCGTTTGGCCGTAGCAAAGTACTGTGGTACAAACAAGGCTGGCTTGCGACGGTGCACCAGAAAGTGCCCAGTACCAAAGGCTTCTTCTTCCGCTAAGATGCGGTAGGGCATACTTTCGGCTGCCTCAGGCTGGGCTAGGCCTAGATTCAAACCTTGTGGCTCCTCGTGATCAAACACCCCGGCATAGACCTGTAAGAGTTTAGCCCCGGCCCAGGCATTCAGTAAAGTCAGTGACCGACAATCCGATAAGCATAGAACCAATCTGTCCTTACATCCATGCTCCCGGCTTAGTTCTAAAGTTTGGGCTAATACCTCCATAATAACTATTGTGCACTCTGGAGGTGTCTCAACAACTTCCTCAGCTAAACTCTCCTCCATTTCACGCCGCACTATCTCTGAGAGTACATAAAGACACTTTACACTACAAAACAGTTCTAAATACTCACCAGCAGTCTCAGGCACCTGCAAACACTCCATCAAAATACGTAGAGCTACTATCTTGGTTAAACTTGGCACATTTCCATGAACTATCACTCTCCCTAATAATGCGGCTGGCAAAAGCACTTTCTTCTTAAGTGCCGCTGATAGAGCCACAAATAACTCTTCTACATCCTTTCCCAAAGCCTCAGATACCCGATGTGCCACCTCATACTCTCCCTCCATCTAAAATATTTGCGATACGTATCGCCATCTACTCTGTTCTCTTCTCCAGTCCACCCCCAAGTAAGCTGCCATTCAAGTAGTATGTATTCGGTTGGTATTCGGTTAGGAGTGGGTTAGGATTTACTAGTGATTTACTATTTGGTATGTAGTTGTTTACTGTCAAAGACACAAAGACCCATAATTACCAAGATTATCATCTGATTCAATACCAATCCAACACCATTACAATGCCAATCCAATACCAATCCAATACTAACCCAATAAAGCAATGCGTGCTTGCCAAGGAACACCCACGTACATTCTACTTTAATTATTCAGAGTATAAGGCATCAAACAGATACCCAGATGACCTCCAGTCAACAGATATACCTCCACTTAATCTAGTCTTAACCAACACTACCCCACTTCTAATCTTGAATACACTTCGCCATGTCAATAAAACTAACCGCACATCTAGTCCATCCATGCCTCGCTTCTACCGAATGGAACGAAGTACAATTCAACAGAAGAAACTCTCTGTCCGACCATCTTAACATCAACATCTACACTATTAATATCCGTGATGAATAAACCAGCATTATCTATTAGCTTTTATTAGGTGTAGAGACCAGTAAGACCATCTACTCCATTCTTATGCAACTATCTCTATGACCACCTTCTGACTTAATATTAATTGCCAGGTAGACACATTCCATTCCCTTCCAGGACCACTTCATTCCTATTCTACACCACCCAATACTAACATCCCTCAACTTAACTCACCACTATATCACACTACACCCCATCGCACATCACACCAACCCCACCTAACCCAATACTAACCCAATAGTATATGGCTGACTTTGGCAAAAAGATACATTGAGTCTTCGGCACATAAATCGGTCCAGACAATTAAGATGTTCTAAAGTCTCTAAACCCTCCATTTATTACTAGTCCTTTTGACTTTCACCAATCCAGCCACTCCAACCCAATTCTAACAACTTGACATGTTATCAATCACTATGCTCTTTTTGACAAATTGACGAAAAACCGGGCAATATGCCGCGCGCGGTCTTTTAAACTATAAATACAAAAGAAAATTGAGGTGTATGTCAGAATTACAGATATCCGAAAGAACAAACAACGAAGAAAAAGCCATTGAATCACAAAGAGAGCCTATTTTAGAAGAGTCTAGCAACCGATTCGTGATTTTCCCGATTGAATATTACGATATTTGGGCGTCTTATAAGAATGCAGTAGCGAGCTTTTGGACAGTCGAGGAAGTTGATTTGAGCGCCGACTTAGCCGACTGGGAGAAGTTAAATGAGAAGGAAAGACACTTCATTAAGTATGTTTTGGCCTTCTTTGCTGCTTCAGATGGAATTGTGAATGAAAACTTGGTCGAGCGATTTGCCTCAGAGGTGCAGATTAGTGAAGCACGTTGTTTCTATGGGTTCCAAATCATGATTGAGAACATTCATGCTGAAATGTACTCTTTGCTTATTGATACGTACATTAAGGATACAGAGGAAAAGAACTTCTTATTCCAGGCAATGGATAACATTCCGGTGATTAAGAAGAAGGCGGATTGGGCTTTAAGATGGATTTCAGACAAGGAAGCAACCTTTGCCGAACGACTTGTAGCTTTTGCTTGTGTAGAAGGTATCTTCTTCTCGGGGTCGTTTGCTTCAATCTTTTGGTTGAAGAAGCGAGGACTAATGCCTGGACTGACCTTTTCTAATGAGCTGATTAGTCGAGATGAAGGTTTGCATTGTGATTTTGCCTGTTTGCTTCACTCACATCTGAACAACAAGTGCCGGTACATAAAAAAGATAGTCTCTGAGGCTGTAGAGATAGAAAAGGAGTTCCTCACTGACGCCCTTCCGGTTTCCCTCATTGGAATTAATGCTGACACTATGGGGCAATACATCGAGTTTGTAGCTAATCGGTTATTGGTGGCTCTTGGTGAAGAAAAGATCTACAATGCTCAGAATCCCTTTGACTTCATGGAGCGAATATCTCTACGGGGAAAGACTAACTTCTTTGAAAAGAAGGTTGGTGAGTACCAGAAGGCCAATGTAGGGGTAAAGAATGTCCAGACACAAGGGTTTGCCATTGATGAAGACTTTTAGATAGGTGGTCGCGCATGGTTATGCCAATAAATGAAAACTGAGTTAAGATTGTATTGAGTTGAGTTGAGTTGGGTTGGGTTTGGTATAGTTTAGGATTAAGTTTGGTTTAGTTTGGATTGTGTTAAGTTAGGTTGGGTTTGGTTTGGTTTAGGATTAAGTTGTGTTAAGTTGAGTTTGGTTTGGTTTAGAATTGTGTTGTGTTATGTTGAGTTTGATATGGTTTAGGATTGTATTAGGATTGTGTTAAGTTAAGTTGTTGTTATGATATCCTGATTTTAGGTGGCAGGACATACTCAACTGAACGTAATAGATGAAACTTGAATGAACTGGCCGATTATTTATTGGGTTAGTATTACTTAGGTAGGTGGTCAGCGAAGATATAGGCCATCCAGAGAATTACTCCGTTGGTCCAACCGAACCCGCTTTGAGTTGTATACTCGCCGATTGATTGGTTCTCAAAACTAAGCTTTTCCGGAATGACTTTGTGGTCACTATAGTAGATATTGAGAGTTTTCATAAAGATATGGGTTATATCAAGGGCTAGGCTTGGTTGAGAGGACCGGATGAGATACTCAAGTAGTAGCTGAATAAGAGGCGGCCAAACAGTGTTTCCGTCCCATTGATCGCCCTTGTTCTGTACCCAGGCAGAGGTGCTTGACTTGCTGGGTTGTGAGACTTGCCAGCAGTAGGTGCTAGTGCCCGGGAGAGGGGAATTAAGACTCTGCATTCTTGAGTAGAAGGCACTAAAGATATGGTTTCCTGGATCGCTGGCTAGGTCGAAAAAGAGCGGATACAAATCACTCATGTAAGTGACGGTGTCTTTCTTTGCATAAACAATGTATGGCTCGGTAGGACTGGTGGGCTGGTGGTCTTTGTCTATTTCGGCATCTCGCCAGCAGCTAATGTTAGAGTCCCAGAAAATGATGTCCATGGCTTCAGCTAGGGCCTGAGCCTTTGCCGCATATATCCTGGCTTTGTCTGGGAGATTGTGGTGCTTGTAGATGGCTGCTAGCAAACGTAGGTTCTTCAGAATGATTGAATTAAGGTCGACGGGAATGAAGTGCGAGGTCTGTAGAAAGCCGAATTGACTATGCTCTTCATGATACTCGCGCCATCGAGTGGAGAAGTCCCAGCCTGACTCGGTGGCTGAAACTATCTCAGAAAAGAGCTTCTTGGCATCATTAATATTGTTGGATTTGGATTTAGATTTCATGTAGGCATAGCCGTCTTCAAGGTCAACTTTTAACATCTCTGGGCGCGGTGACTGACTGGTGACACGGTATCGGAAAAGGTGATAGGCTTTGCTATCGTTATTTCGCTTGACTAGTACGCGGCGGTTGTTCTCCCAGAACAAATACTCTTTTTCGGCATCAAAGAGCTGGCTAGGTGAGATATTAAGGTTGTAAAAAGACATATCGGTTTGGTGTTGGCTAATTAAAGATTGCTTGGGCCGGAATGGTTCGGCTGAAACTTTCTGATTAGTATTTAAGCTGGTAGTAGTGTTAGTGTTTTGGTTTGGAGTTGAGTGGGAGTTAGTATCTGGGTTAGAGCTAAGTGACTTATTTAGCAACATATCAGCATTGAACTTCTCTTTGAGCTTGGTCATACTTTCTAGGGAATCGGTGAGCATGCTTAGAAAGAGAGGCGGCTGGGATCGGTTGGTGTAGTAGTGGCGGGTGCCGTTGGGAATAAAGTTGTACGTTTTCAAAAGATCAGAGAAGTTGTTGAGTGTGTCCTGGATATATTGCTTTTTCTGGCTAAGCATAAGCCCTTTGTTGATCCAGAAAGCATCCCAATAATAGCACTCTTGGAACCGACCGCCGGGAGCAACAAATGGATGTTTTAGATTAATGCGGGTGGTGAGTATTGCTTGAGACTCTTCGGGCGGTGTGTAGAATTTATCCCACAAGCAATCAATATGATCGATGAGAGTCCTGTATTTGGGTAATGGTGTAAAGAACAGTGTGGATGCCGGGGGTGCTATTGGGTTAGTACTGGACTGATTTTCCTTGCATTGCATGACCTCTTGATTTTGGCTGTCTGTTCTGGCTGTGAAGTTGTCGATGTAAAAGGCATTTAGCATATCGACCAGACAATCTGTTGAAGAATTCTTAGTCTCCTTGTAGTTGGAAAGCAATGTTTCCAATTTAATGTTGCTTGTGCTATCGGCAATAGTTTTTGGATCCCTAACATTCGCATAGATGGCCAAATCCACAAACATATCCCAGAGATTGTCGTCTTTGGGCGATTGGAGATTGTAAAGCGTCGGACGCTCAACTTGATGGGCTAAGTCTACAAGGTCTTGTCTACTAAGTTCTGAACAGATATTCTTCTCTTCGGTGGAGTATGTCCCTGACTCGTGCATATTCTGCTGCTGACTATGCTGTGCAGCTGGCCAGCAGTAGCTATTAAGGCATGTGCTATTTGCCCAGCCTAGACACAGAATGGCAAGGATTAGAGAGCATGCTTTTCGTTTCATCCAATCGCACATTCACAAACTAATATTTATCCAATTTGTTTGTGATTATACCTTGTCGTAGATTAGTCGATCGGTCCATTATTCTTATCTATGCAAATCAGAGGCTGAATATTCATCTGTCAATTTTATTGAGTTGGGGTTGGATGAGATTGTGTTGCCATGGTAGGCTTGGATAGGTTTGGGTTGAGTTAAATGGACTGTGTTTTACATCTCTACATCAACTAGCCTTTTAATTTTATTTGGCATGTAGAGATAGAGATAGGATTTTTAGATATGCTTAATTGCTGTGAATAAAAGTCATTGGTTTTAGTGCTTGCATTGGAAAGGTTTCGTTATTGAAAGTTGAACGATATCATTTATTGAAAAGTTGTTTGCTGATAGTGTTGTTGAGGCTATTCATCCATCTCATACTACCTCCATACTTACCAGCACTAGGCCTTGCCTAGCTTGCTTTTAGTGCATAGTCTGTTTTAGTGCATAGCTAGCTTTTTGGGAGTAGAGAAACGGTTGGCAATTAAGCAGCCGCCAGCAAAGGCAACTAGGCCAAAGACTACTAAAGTTAGCGGGCTGATTCCTTCATTAACCGGCTGGCTTTCTCGGTGTAAGCGCATAGACTGCATTTCTGCGTGCAATGCTTTGATATCTAAAAGAATCTCGTTTCTTTTGAACTCTTCAACTTCGGCGTGCTTTTTGCTTATCTCTGCTAGGGCTTTCAGTGCATCTCTTATTTCCAAAATATGGGCACTCTGGAAATTGATGCTCTTTTTGAGATAGAGAATGTTTTCGGTAATTGGTTTGCTCAACGGCTCGCCTAGCACTACCCTTAGGTATTTGGCTAAATGCTCAATACCAGCAATAGCATGCTGGATCTCTTCTTCGGGATGGTTGACTTCGTGGGGAACACGAGGAATGATTTCGGGAATTTCAGTATGCACTTTGCTTGGATCGTATGTTTCTCCTTCTTCCCGTGAGTTCATGTGCACTTTCTTGAGAATAATGCTCGAGGACGGCTTGGCGCTGTGATAGTCCGTACTAATCCCAAAGTATTTGCCTGATAGACGGGTGCCAATTTCTGTCATGGCCGCGTATCTAATTCGGTCGTAGATTAATTTGCCATCTTCACCATAGATTTCAATCTTGAAGTTCTTTGTGGTGGAGATAACCTTGAAAGTAAGCTCTTTGTGCCCGCGGAAGACATTCGGGTCTGGTGAGTCTTTTAGCTCGGTGTCCTCGCTTCTGCTGTGGGCATAGTCTGCGTTGCCATGGTTTACTGAAACAACAATGTCGACTGACCGCCCAATGAACTCAATACCAGCTAGCACTCCATTGAACTTCCCCCATCCGCCTTTATACGGCCCAACAGTCAAAGGGTCTTCAGTGTACCAAAGATAGACTCCTGCAAATTCGGGATGTGTTAGTTCGGGCTCTTTTATGACCATTTCAAGACTCCACTCGTCCTGGTCATTGTTTTTGTTGTAGAAGTTCACAACCGATCCGGCGGCGCCATTTTTAAGTTGCCAGCCGTCGCTTCGCTTGATTCCATTGATAAGGTGTGCTTGCCCCTCGGTCAGACCAATTGTATTCAAAGGCATCTCCCTAAGGAATCCTGAAACTAATTGCAGACACGCCACTATTCCTAGGCTTCGCATGTCATCCTACTGCCCCCTGTTTTTATATATGCCATATCAATAACAAACAATTAGTTTCCAGTTGTTTTTGCTATATATGCGGCATACGCTGATGGACTATGTCCTTCTGGCGCGTGCTAGTATTGGGCAGCTCGGTTTTTGTGCTGACTGTCTATTCTGCTGTCCAGATCGGAATGGATCCGGTTTGTTCCTGTCTAAACCCAACGGGGATATGTGCTGTGCTTTGTGTCCAGTCGCCCCCAAGCCCTGGCTACCCCAAGTTTATTTATGCCAATCGAACTCAGCCACGCACGATGGCTCGCATTGTCCCGCAAGATGTAGCACCGGCTCGGCCGGTTGTCTTTATGCAGCGCACTATCAAACGCATGCCTCTGCCAATTACGCCGCGAATGCGCCCGCCGGAAGCCTGTGAAACAGTCACTGAGACCGAAACTCAAACAGAGCGCATTACGCGCACTCGCACCAAGACCCATATGACAATTCGTATTCACACGCGGACTAAGACTCTTTCCATTAAGGAGCCTTTCTTCAAAACAATCACCTTTCCTCCAGTAACTAAGATAAGCACAATTGGATATACTGAAACTCTTTTTGCCACCCATACGTTGACCCTCACGAAGACCCTTCCAGCGGTAACCCACGAAATTACCCAAAAGAGCATCCAAGTTCTAACTCCAGTCCCCATCACCACCACGAAGATGGTTCGAAGTCCTCCGTCCATCTACATCAATACACGGACGGTCACTGTCACAATGCCGCCGCCGCGTCCAGTCACCAAGAGCTACACGGTTACTTCAGTTTCGGTTGTGACAGCCACGCGGCCGCTCTACCCAGAGTACGTGGATATTAGGCCACTACCCAAGCCACTACCAGGTATGATTATTGAATTCCACGACTCCAACAATAAGTCCAAACGAGTGAACGTTGTAATGCCAACCCCAACTGTGACCGTGCCTGTTTCATCGGCAGAGAAGCTCTTCTCTAACCGCCCCAAAACTGTTGTGATTCCGCCCGTGACTGTAACCTCGGTGCAGTACATTACCCAAACAACCCGCGAGATCAGCACTCTTCCTCTACCTGTTACCAAAACAGTCACGACCACAGCCACCCAAATGCTGCCCATTATGCGCCCAACCACCTTCTATGAGACCATTACTCACCCCGATATGAGGATTGTTCCGCGCACAAGCACTATTGTGGAGACGCAGACCCGAGAGCGACCTACCCTGATTATTAGCACCACAACGGCAACAGAGACCACCACCAGCACCACTATATCCACTGCCACATACACACTTCCTCCCATTACCCTCCCGCGATTCACTACTACTGTAAGTAGAACAACAACAGTTTCAGTAACGGCCACCGTGCCTGTTCCCCAAATATCCAATAGATATATCACTACTACCGAGATAGCTACAATGACCAAGCAAGCAGCCCCAGTTCTCACCACCTACATAGATGGCAAAGATCAATATGAAGACATAATCAACCAGCTAAGAAACGAACTGGAGAAGGCCAGAACTGCTCGCGATCGTGCCCAAAAAGAAGCCGAGGCCTACAGAAGTGAGACCGATCGGCTCAACTCTCTTCTTAATATGCGCAAGTAATATTCGGCTTCTATCAAATATCTAAGTAATTAAAGTATGTGTTTATAACAATTGAGTTAGTATTTAGTTGCTTTGGTGTACTGTGTTGTATTGTGCTGTGCTGTGGTGTATTGTATTGTATTGTACTGTGGGCTCAATTTATTGATTATGAAGCAAAGCGTTAGCATTTAGTTGGCATTTGGGCTCGTGAACTGATGTGTTGCTAATTTGTTGTTATTCCGTGCTAAACTGGCTAAAAATGATAGCTATTGAACCTTGGCTGTTTATTGGAGTAAATTATAGTCTGCTTAGGTTATAGCTTAGACCTTGATTGCACTAATCTTTCCCATGATAGAAGTGGCTGGGTCATAACTTGGTATTAGGGTGACATCCTCGGCTAGCAAGTTAAATCGAAGCATTAAACCGACTGCTAATCCGATTAAAGCAATCTGCACAACGGCAATAGCTATTAACCTCTGTGCTTTCTGTAATTTCTCTTTAGGACAGCGCTCCTTCATCCACCCGGACTGCATCTTATCGAGCCGTCGTCCGAAGAGATCAATAAAGGTTCCTATCACAAAGAACACCGCCGAAATAACCAGAACTTGTGATTTAAGCAGCAGTCTTGCATCAACGGTCTGGTTCGTAAGACAAAGGATAGAGGGCAAGACTGCCAAGACAATTGCCAGCCCATAAAACACATAGTAGAGTCTTCGAATAATGCATGATGGTATGTAGTTGAAAAGCAACCTGACTCCTAAGAATCCCAGCATCATAGCCAAAGTGAATACATACTGTGCGATAAGAAGAATGTAAATCTGCGTCTTTTCATCTGCCTTAGAGTAATATATCATAAACGCGCCTACAATAACAGTCAACACACCCGCTAAGGTGCCCATTAAAAAGAGGAATGTGTGATGCCGCTGAGTTAGTCGCCGAGTTTTGTGAAAGATAAAGGAAGTAATATAGAGAAGAAGTAGAGACACAGATAGCCCAAAGAACATCACGGCCAATGGTAAAATGCATACTAGGAAGGTTTTGTTGTCGGTGAGTATACTAAGCGAAATTACTACGGCCTCACTTGACAGTAGAGATATCCCTCCTACAAAAAGAGTAATGCCATTGTGCTGTTCGCGCAGGAGATGCAAGTCATCTTTTCTCTGAGTTTCTGATTCAGATAATTCTGAAGTCTCTGTTGAGATCCATCGCCTGAAGGACTTACTGGCTCCGGATGTGTCTTTTGTGCTACTTCGAGTAAACACCTTGTCAATGTCATCGACTTTGCGATAACGGGATAGTACTGAGGTAATTGTTTCCCAATCCTCATCGCTAGCCATGATAGTATATTTGTTCGTAGGCGGGGCATATCGCAATCGAACTGCTGTTTCAAAGTTAAAGTGGGTTACATAGTTTGTTGCACCAATATTAATGGCACTGGCCGATAACACACTAGTTAAGTTGTGCCGAAAGAATAGGAAGTGTTTCTGGTGCTGGTCGTAAGTATAAAGAAGACCGGCCATGTAGAGATCTAAGTTTAGAGGATGAATGTAGATAATAAGGGGACTGCTACGCAAAGTCGCAAGATCGGGATAGTTGTAAATAAGAGTAGTGTCCGGTGATAAAAACTTGAATAGGGCTTTGTTGCGATCTGGGGAGCGACTGAGATCTCTTTGGTCTTTTGAGCCTCCATACGCGAAATAGGCGTTGCGTCCGAGGCAAACAGCTTCCAAGTTATCAACAAAGTTGGGGGTTTCGTGTTGGCAGAACCTGATAGCGAATGTGAAGTTTTCAATAAATGCCTTATAAGGGTTATTGTTGTGAATATTAGTTAGTCTTTCTAAACTCTGACTTTGATCTAGCATCGCAAAAAGCATAATAGTATCTAAGATCAAATCTTGGTCTACGCCGCTTGTAATGTCTTGGGTTGGAGAGAACTGATTGAGCAGATTAGAAGCTACTTGCTTAGTCCGTTCTAATCGAGACGGGCCAAATAACAAGGAATAAAACCCATCTTTCAGAAAGCATTCTTGTGGATATTTCGATATTGTTGTTGCTAGTTTGGCGCTGAGGTGCTTGAGCTGCGCTGGGTTGTTTTGGAGGTGCTTTTTTAAGGACTTGGCCCAGGCAAAATCCAATGCTGCCCAATCGTCTAAGGTAGGACAATTGGTCTGTTGCATATCCTGTGCTAGCATATTGTCTAGCTGGCCGGCGGGTTCAGTACTTAACACGCATAGGCACTGCAGTATCACAAAGATTGCCAGTCTAATTGTTACTTGGAATTGATTACGCATACCAAATTTAGAAAAATCACCTAAAAGTCTTGCCCTGTTGTTTTTTCCTTTTTTGGTAATCATTGATATTGAGTGAAATACCCAATACTAAGTCCATTTTAACTAATACGCACTCTATTAAAGACATTCCTTGAAGCAAGCGCGGGTTAGTGTTTATTAAGTAAATAAGGGCGTGAGTGGGAGGTGACGTCATATCGGGTTAGTGTTAGTAGCACTAAGTAGCGATCAAGTTGATTGCGTTATTATTGCGTTATTATTGGATAGTGGTGATATGACGATCCTACATTGAGGTATAATAGTCTTGGAAAATCAATCTTATTGTGTGCCATTGTAAGTTATTATGAATGCTTCTTGCGCCCGATTGGTTGGATTAGTATTGGTATTGGTATTGGGGTGGGTTTTGTTGGTTTTGTTTATCTTGTTGGCTTTGCTGGAACTGTTGTGATGTGGAAGATTCTGAGGAATAATCTAACCCAGTGTATCCGATTTGGATACAATTGGAAAGGCTAAGCTTATCTCGCTGTATGGTTTGAAACCTGGTCTTGAATGTCTCGAAAAATTCCGATGTGTTATTGAGTGTCTTGCTGGTCTGGTGGTACACATTATTGGCTATCATTTTCAAAGCTATAACGGTCTGCCTGGCAATCATCTGGTCGGAAATGGACATGGGCTTATTGGAGTCTTCCAATGTCTTGATTGCATTTAAGACACGCTGCCACTCTGCTGTGTACGACTTATTCCAATTTTCATAGAACAAACCAATGCCTTCGGAAGATACCACCCTATCAATAATCTTGAATTCGTTTGTTACATCCTTACCTCTCAAGAGATTATTTGCCGGAAGGTTGGCCAACTCCAATATCGTCTGGTACTGCGCATCGCTAAGATTAGGTGCCATTCTGTCATGCTTGGACTTATGCCATGTATTAGCAACAAACGCCTGGAGTGTATAAAACGCGTAGAAAAACCTTATGAACCTCTGCATCTTTCTTTGGGCGATACTTATTGATTCCTGATCTTCAAGAATGCTTTCTCCCTTCAATGGTTGTGGTGGCTTGGAATTCCTGAATTGGTTATGTGTCTTCTTCACTAAGTTGCCCATTGCTACTATGTCTGTGCTTCTGACAAAGATAGGGTCAATGACCTCAGCACAAAACTCTAGACGTCTAGACACCTCGCCTGTCTCTATAACCCTAAATAGAGTTGATTTCTTGAGCTCAGAGATAAATTGGTGGTGATGTGTTAGTTTTTCGGTCTGGATAGATAACAAGAAGTCGACCTCATGTTTTAGCTTTATACTTAGATCTTGGAGTACTTTCTGCACTTTCTGTGCCAGTTCTTTTATTGGGTTGAATAACTCGGCGCTTGGTTGTATCCCATTCTCATCCCAGCTTATTGAGCATGTGCCCATGAAGATAGCTAGCAGGTCTAATTCCATACTTGCGTCGGACGTAGAGATCATGGCCGACAGAGAGTTATTAAATTCGGAATCTAAATTGTGAAATTCATAAAGCGAATTCTTAACTTGTTCCTGGATTATGCTCGCTTCAATATTTGGGTTTTCTAGGTGGTTGTCATTGTGGTGATTTGTCACCATATCTCCAACGTCTGTGAGCATTGCCTGCCTGATGGTTAAGCCAATATAAGAGAAAAGAGCGCCTCCTATAATCGTCATTATAAAACTCAATACTGTCCCAAAGTTCATGTTTAAAATATATTGCTCGTTTATATAGATCTCGACCAGTCTAGTTATCATTTTTCTAACCCAAATCTAGTCTTTGGAGCTTTTTAAGAGTAGTTTAAGCTTGTTTGAAAACCAAAAGTATATATCTCGATAATACCATGCTAAATATATCGCAAGTCAATAGCTGTAGTGCTGCCATACGACCACTACTCATTTCTCACAACGATCAACCTGATCTCTGGTAAACTACTCACTACTTAGTGTGACACGCCGAGCATGAAGCTCGCCCAGTTTGAAATACAAAAGCCCTCAGCATGTAAGACTTGGAAATTATCTTTATTGAGCCAAAGTACCAAATGAGTCTCCTTTCTATGTCTAGGACCTGGAATACAACCTTTTATCCCTAAGGATATATTTAGAAACGGACGGTGCTATATTTTATTCTACTATATTTGCTCGAGAGTTTTAGATAAGCTGTTATAGATTAGATGGTGTTAGTATTGGGTTGGATAGGGTTCATTAGCCAATGCCTACTCTATTAAAGATCTTCCTTGAGACGAGTATCGATGCGATTTGTTAAATAAACTATCCATCCCATGAGCATTACATTAGCCCAATTGTAGAACAGACAAGCTTGTTAGGAGCCACACATTAATACACACTAATATACCTAGAGTGCCAATCCAATACCAACATAATACCAACTCAATACCAACATAATACTAACATAATACCAACTCAATATCAGCATAATACTAACATAATACTAACATAATCTTTATTAGGTTGGTCCTAGTAATGGTTTTATTGGGCTTTGGGTGGCAAGTGGTACTGCCAGTTATATCTGATTGAACTGTCTGCAACTCCAAGACACTCTTCTAAACTCTCGAAGGGCAATCTACTTTCTTCCGTAGCGGCTTTCCTTCGGGACTCGATTTCATTGGAAAATATCGCTAGTTTAACAGACATTGTTTCTATCCCTTTCTGCATCATAAATAGTATTGCCTCTGTTGCAAGGAATACCTCATAGAGTCTCTCTTGCTCGTTCTTTGTCATGGGCGAGTTGGGGCCTTTCAAGAAGCTAAGTGCCTCTAACCCCCTTTCAACGGTCGACACGTGTCTCTTCTGCCAGTTTTTGTAGAATAAAGAAAGGCCAGCAGGAGAGATAAGCTTATTAATCACGTCAGTGCCGCTCTTTCCGCCGTGACTTGCCAAAAACTGGAGCGGAGTGAGATCAAAGAGATCCTTTGCCATCTTTTCCTGCTCGGCAGTAAACTCGGGCGCAAACCTGGCATTGTAAGACTTATGCCAAGTATTGACAACCAGCATCTGGAATGTATAAAACTCGTAGAAAAACCACACCATCTTATTCATTGTGGATGTATTTACAACTATTTGGTCGCCTGGATCTGAAGAAAATAGTGTATCGATGATGCGCTTGTCATCGTCAGTAAAAAGCTGTTTGTAAGTAGTCAAGACCATATTGCCACACTTAGCTATATCCAACTCTTTAACAAATATAGGACTCAAAAACTGATCTTGGAACTTTAGGTTTTGGAACTTGCCATCATTCTCTACAACCTTAAAGAGCCTTAGCTTTTTGAGTTCTGATATCGCTTGCCGTTTGGTTTTGATATCTGAGGTGAAAGCAAACCGCAATGTTTCGATCTCGTCTTTCAACTGGCTATGGATATATCGAAGCTTTTTACTGTGCTCGGCAACCAATTCCTCCATGACATCATAGACTTCTATCAGCGGGTCCATTCCTGTCTCGTCATTCTCCCAATAAAATCCACATGTGTCCATAACCTTTGCTAGTTTGTGTAGCTCCATATCTACTACAGGTCCAGCAACTGCACTTAACAAGCATTCTTTGAATGTAGGACTTAGTATCGAGTGTGGACAAACATCACCGTCATCAGACTGATCAGATGCATCTTCCTTGCTTTGGGCTTCTTCTGTATACTTGATGCTTTCATGGGCCCATAAGATCTCCGGCACAAACCTGCGCATTCCCTGTGAATGAACTATAGAGACGCCGGACAGAACTATCATTGCTATGGCTGCCATTAGATAAAACCATATCTTTCCAAAGTACATGTCTTAAAAAGCAGGCCGGCTTATATAGTTTTAATCGAATTCGGCTATCATTTTGATCAGAATCCTTATCCTAGCCAATATACAATTCGAATACGTTGGCATGCAAAACGCCAAATATACTTTCAATGGCATTCAGTACAAGTATAAGATGAGGGAGCCTGCTGTTTGCTGCATTCACCGCTTTGACGTAGGAATGCGGAGTTGAATTGCCCTGGCGATTCTGCAACGGCAAACTCTAGACATTAGAATCAAGTACATTTATAACCTTCATCCTTTGAAAGCCGATTGGGTTAGTATCGGGTTATGTCGCGATACATAGAGATACTAGGCTGCTATATACAATAGCATACAAGCACCGCCATTCGAGAGTAAGTATGAGTTGGGCCCCAGCAACCAGATGTTTGCATTAACTCAATAAATTCAACAAGTGCGGCATAGATTGTCTTTAACTAAATGCTACAGCTGAATATAAGCGAAACAGAATGGAATACGGCAGTTTTATTATTAGCCCTCGAGCTTAAAGGTCTCTTGCATTTCAAAGTCGACAAACCCATACATGCCTCGAGCCTGTCCGGCCTTGAGGCATTTAATCAAAGAAACCGTCGGGACTTTCCATACGATCATTAAGTGCTCTTTGACTTCGTTGTAAAACGTAAGTAAGTTGGAAGAGGCCTCCTGGGCCATATTAGCCAGGACTATAAGAATCTCAAGCAATTCTTTGATTGTCCTTAAGACCTGCTCCTCGTCGTGCTTGGTCATAGGTACTTTTGAATTCTTTAGCCCCATAAGGCCCAATAAGGCCTTCTTGAATCTCTCGGTATATATACTGTGCCAGTCATTGTAGAATAAAGGAAGGCCAGTTGGTGAAGTAAGCTTGTCAATTATCTTGATACCTTTTTTGAGGTTCCTACTACTCAAGCAGAAGAGTGGATTAAGCATAAAGAATTCCTGGATCAGCTCAATCAGTTCAGGACTAAACTGTGGTCTAGAATCGTGCTTATAAACTGTGCTCCAAGTATTGGCCACGAGTATTTGGAACGTGTAAAACTCGTAGAAGAACTGCGCCATCTTGTTCATTGTACATAGAGAAAGCATGACCTCTCTTGGTGGACCACTGGCATTTAATTGATCAATGCTCCTTTGGCTTTTGTACGTCACAACTTGCTTGTATGTATCCTTTAGCATCTCGCCGCATGCGGTTATATTGGCATCTTTAACGAACATAACATTCAAATCACCCGGCTTAATTTTGGCACCTTGCAACTCGCCATCGCTTTCTATAATCTTGACGAGCTTTAGCTCTTTGAGCCCTAATATAACTTGCTCTTTGCTTATTGTGGGCTGGTTGAGGAGAGAATGCAATGTTTTGGCGTCTTCGCTTAGGTTGAGATGAAGATTGTGAAACTTTTGGCTTGTCTCGGTAGCCAACCTTTCCATGCTAAGGTACATCTCTGTAAATGGTTCCAGTGTTGGCTCACCGTCGATCCAATTAGGTGAGCAATACAACATGATCGGCCTTAACTTGTATTGATTCAGGCTTGCTACTGCTGTGGAAAGTGCAGCTGCCATACAATCTTTGAATGCTGGAGTTAACATTGCACCTGGGCATACAACGTCGTCTTTGTCGCTACTTGCGGTATTCTCTTTGGCATTTAGATCTTCCTGGCATTCGGCGGGACATTGACCTACTAGCTTATCTGCAACAAGCTTATGCAATCTCTGGGACTGAGCTATATGGAATCCGGATAAAAGTATCAAGGCCAACATTGTTATTAGATAAAATGCTATCTTTCCGAAATGCATATTCAAACCAACCCGCCTCTTTATATAGTTTTGTTCGAGCTTAACTATCTTTGTATCAAAATACCCTCATTTGATCTCCAATGTACATTTAGAATATGCTTAAATTAGTCTTGGGCTGTGCCAGCTTACATCTCCTCTAATCTCACGACAAATACATCCAACAACACGCGCAATATGTATGAAAGAAAAAGGAACACTATCGGATGCCTTCATCGGCTCTGGTTTGGAGGCCGAGCACGACCTTTTGGCCATTCTCTAACGGCAATCTTTAGACATTAGAGCCAAGTAGAACCAGAGTTGTGTGCTGTCATACAACCACTACCTAATACTAACCCAAATACTAACCCAAATACTAACTCAATATATCATCTAAGTGTCTTTATTTAGCTAGCTACTGATCAGATAAGATACATAGGCTCAACACACTTAATGGACTTGCATGGTCCTGTACAGCTGCTATTGCTGCATATACAAATGGTAAGGCAGGTTTTGCGGTTTTTGAGTCGATTCTGGATGTTGCCATAGTATTCCTGTATTCCTTGTAAGAATCCAACCCCGATCTTCTCGTTGTGTAGTGTCTCAATGTCCTTTTTGGTGATGTTGGATATTTCTTGGATGAGCATCTTGACGGCAATGTAGTTGTTGTTCATTTCGTTTTCGGTCAAACCTCGCTTCTGGTAGAACCCAATTTCTGAAAGGCTCCCGTGTCTCATAATGTCCTTTCGGCTATTGACGCGCTCACCATAGAAATAGCCACTTTTGTCGGTAAGAAGTCCTTGGGAATTGGGGTGGAACTTAATAATGCCCCAGTAGTCGGTATATAGGTTGTCGCTAATCGGATAGGCCAAAATACCAGTTATTGGACTGATGCCTTGAATTGGCTTCTTTAGACCAACCAACACATCGTAATAAGAGCCAAGTACGTTCGCTGCCGAAATACCATCTCGTAGTCCTTCTGAAGATAAGCTGCCATACCCTGCACTGGCCGAAGCGGATGCTGAAGGTCCATATCCGTCTCCCATAATGCCGGCACTGGCCGAAGCTGAAGCGCCGTATCCGCCTGGCACTCCCATGCCTCCCACGCCTACATCTCCTGGTATTCCTGCTCCTCCCACGCCTACACCTCCTGGTACTCCTACTCCGCCAACACCGCCTATTGCTCCTGGCATTGCGCCGCCAATCCCACCAATTCCTCCTATACCGGCTGCTGCTGCGGCACTGGCTCCGGCCATTGCAACTCCAGGGTGAGCACCACCGATAATTCCGGAGTGAGTACCGCCGATAATTCCTGGGTGAGTACCGCCGATCATTCCGGGATTAGTACCGCCAATAATTCCTGGGTGGCCCATGCCATGGTGGCCATATCCACCGTATCCTATACCAGAACCGTATGGAGAAACACCGTGGCCATGGTAGCCAGCACTAGATGGGCCATGGGTATGTCCATGTGGATTGACCTTGTCTCGATAGCTTGTTCCACCCAGCAAGTAACGACCAACTGCCTTTGCTCCAGATGCAACCTTGGAAAAGATGCCTTTCTCCTGTACTGGAACCTGCCCAGTATATCGAGGGTTGTTGTAGTTTTTGAGGTATTTGCTATGGTCAAACTTCTCGTATGGCTTCAACTTGGTATGATATCTCTCATCGTGGTCCATTTCTTGAAGAACCCGGGAATCGGTTGTCTTTCCATATGGAGTGTTATAGGTTGGTGCGCCATACCCTCCTGGTATTGCCGGCGAAAATGGGTTTACAGCTAAAACAAACAGACCGTTGGTGCCAAAATGTCTTTTGAGAATCGCCTGTGTGACCAGTCCCACTAGGATCGCCTTTCTCATAATAATGCACAATCGAACAGTCTATATATATCTACTAAAACAGATCAGTGTATGAAATGGTTTGCGTCATGTAAATAAATCGACGATGTAACAGCCCATAATAGGCCAAACCCCAAACTATTTACTGATTGTTTTATTATGTTGTGGCCTTACTATTGGCTTGTAATAATTGCGATATTTGTTACTTGACATATGGCTATTAGATAGAAGTTAGCCTTTCGCCGCCGAGAATGAAAGGTAATTTAGACACTAAATCACGACAGAACTACTTAGATCTAAAAACAGACCAAGGAATGCCTGCCCACTTCGAGTACAAGTAAATAAAGAAAGCGTAAGTGTACATTTTAGATACGAGCTTCGAGATCAAATGGAGCTGTTCCCAAATTGAGAGTCCAAAAGTCAAGCTGAATGTGATAGGATCTTTTAAGCTCAAATCTAACGGGTTTATTAAGTGCATTCTTAGATAGGTCCATTTGTTTTGAATAAAGGTCTTTAATCTGGATTTTAATCCACAACTAATCTTAATCTAAAGCCAAACTCAACCTTTATTCTAAATTGAACTGAAGGCATTGAGAATGTTTTATGGAAAGTAAACGAGAATTTAAGTTGAGTTAAGTTAAGCTAATGTTTAGTTAGGTAGATTTATTGATTTATAATGCACAGAACGTAGATAAGATATATTGTTGGCCTAAATAAGACTCACAGGTACATAACCAGAAAAGGAAGTCGCTAGAGCAGGTATTCCGACAACATAGAGCAATAAATATCACCATAACGCATAGTTATAAAGTTGTTCATTGTGGCGGCTAACATAACCCAATAGGAAAGTGGGCTGTTCAGTTTCAAGCCGGTGGATTGTTTTCTCATTTGGCACCTTCAACCAACTACTGGACTAAACAAACTGAAACATGGCCAAACAAGCACATTCAATAAAAGATCCAAGGAATTAAACCGTAAGGCCTGCAGATCTACCAATAGCTCAAGAAATCCAACCCAACACAACCCAACCCAACTCGATCCTAACCCAATTTCACCTTCTAGTCCATAATTTGGGCCCAAAACAGCAACTCAATTATTGTGAGGCGCCTAATTTTAAACTCGCCGAAAATGAAATACCCCCCTTAATGTGAGTATTTGAAATTACCACAATTGTGCTAAATTAGGTTAGTGTTCTGGGCCAGCTGTTATGTTATTAGAAAGAAGTACAGCGAACGAAAGACGTCTATCTCTCCTTTAGATTGATAGACAATTTCCGGTTTCAAAATAGTTGCCAAATCGTGCAAACTCGAATAGATCTAGCCTATCTGTGTATATTTTAAACTAGTAGCTGTTATACTGCCGCAATAAAACATCTCTTTATTACTTTCTGTATCTGTTGCTTCGAAATCCCCAATACCATACTAATCCGAAAGTGGAGATCGTCACTTTCAGCGTGTGGTTTCGGGCTTTCACTTTTGGCGAGTTTCAAATTAGGCGCCTCACAATAATCAACTTGGCCTTCCTAGTAATAAGGATCAATTGTCCTGGAGCTCTGTTCTTTCTAAGCCTTTTAATGTGGCACGCCGAGCATGAAGCTCGCCCAGTTTGAAATACAAAAGCCCTCAGCAGGTGAGATTTGGAAATTATCTTTATTGAGCCAAAGTACCAAATGAGTCTCCTTTCTGTCTCTAGGACCAGGAATACAACCTTTCATCCCTAAGGGTAGATTTAGAAGCGGATGGTGCTATCTTTTATTCAACTATACTTACTCGAGAGTTTTAGATAAGCTGTTATAGATTAGATGGTGTTAGTATTGGGTTGGATTGGGTTGGATAGGGTTCATTGGCCAATGCCTACTCTATTAAAGACATTCCTTGAGACGAGTATCGATGTGATTTGTTAAGTAAATATGGTTGTGTTAGGATGACGTTATATTGAATTGTAGCGTAGATATGTAAAACTAAACTAGTCGAATCAGATTGACTCTATTAAAGTTGCAAGGCGTAATTAGCTGGCAAAACGTTAGGTTGATCTTTTGGGTTGGGTTAGTAGTGGTCGTATTGTATTGGTATTGGGTTGGTATTGAATAGACATACTTAGAAAGTAAGTCTTGTTGATATTCTATTAATTTAGAGTATTTGTTTGGCTAAGACTAGAATATTTTTGATATTGATATATTATAGTCTATAAATAAAAACATGAGATAGCAACTTGTAAAATGAACAAAAGGATGAATAGATACTCTTTGAATGTTTACCAAGTAGTTTGCTTGGTTATTGGTTTGTGTTGTGTCTGGTGTAGTTCTGGTGAGAATTCAAATGAGATGGAGTTGTTTGGTCCATCTAAAGACGTTGCGTTAGATATAGATAGTCAAGTAGAATCGGTCTCTGCTGAGATAACCAATGCAATAGACGAGCTGAAAGACTTAAGGGATATACAATCAATACGAATACATCTAATAAGGCAGGGCCAACCGGGCCTCATGAAACAACAGCATTATAAGGGCTTGAAGTCAATCCAAAGCAATCCCAGCTGCCTTGACAAATTAGAGGATGTGTTCGAACAGATGGAGATTGAGGCGATATCTGTACTAGTTAAAGAAGAATTAATATGGGACAGTCTTAATATAGCTATCCAACAAATGGAAGAATGGTTATCTGAATGGAAGAATACCCAGATGCCAGAGGAGGAATCACGAGTGGAAAGCATATGTAAGCTAGCAATTATAGCAAGACAAATACACCAAATTAAGAGTGACTTAAGGGGCCTACAAAATCAATTCCCCAATCCAAAAATAAGCAGAATTGAAATTAATCTAATCGCAATAGGCGACCAATACCATCCTATTGGATTAAAAGCCCGATTCGTTACGATCATGGTAAGAGAACTAATGAAAATAAGACCTAATATTACTATATCAGAATGGATTCATCTAGAAGAAATTATGGAATCAAAGATAGATCAACTCTTGAAAAATGATGAACTCAAAAGCCCCGACAGCATATCTAGGCTAATTGAAGAAGCGCTAGTTTGGCTTGATGATACGATTAAAGAAATGGAAGTCAAAAGTGAAAGTGAACGTAAACAGAAGCCCACTAGTTCAGAACCCTCTAATTCAAGAACTCAATCAAGCAATCCCCAAACTAACGGATCAGGCATGG